TTACAATACTACTGGATTTATTTGGAAATTCTAATGCTATTTCCGTCATCGGGCCAAAATTTTTAAATATTTTACTGTATTGCTCTCAGGGCATTACTGACAAGAGACATTCAATCTAAAAGAAATAATGGTAGCTAAAAATGTGTGGAAAAAATTTAAAAATTTTGTTAAAGCATCTTTAACATCTAAAATCCAAGGTTTAGAAACATGTTTTTTAAAATGTTTTAGTTAGTGAGTTAAATCCTTGTTTTGTAGTCATATATATACCAATTTAAAATACTTTCAGATCTACAATTTTTTTCTTTTAAAATGCTGTATAATCAGACTTTTCCTTAAATCTGTCTGCCACCCCACCTCCATTATGGAATGCAACATTTTACAAAGCAACAAAAACATGGAGCATACTGCAAAATGTGTTCATGCAGACTGACTAGCTATAGCAAAGCCTTGCCTAGCATTCTAAAGGTCACCTCTACCACAGGCTACTGGTCTCCACAGAGCAACTAGGAAAGGACAGCAAGATCTTTAATAACACCACCACCTGCACAGAGTCCCAGGTTTTACATACATTCCTTCCCTGCCCCCTTGCTAGTTAACAAAGCTGGCTCATGGCCAAGAATTCCACGCAAACCAGAGTCATGCCTGGACTTTATGACCCAGGCTGATTCTGCCTGAGCCCCGTGGGTTCTCGGGAACACTGTACTCTATGACAGGAAAACAATTTGACAGAAAGCCCGGCTTCCTGCTCTGCTCAACCCCTCTGGGCCTCCTGTGTTTGTTTTAGCTGGGTATGAGTAACTCTGATTAGCATCATTTACATGAACAACTTACCACTTATGTCTAATTACCATATGGCACAATAATGATTATGCATATCGTTAAGTGTGTGCCAGATTAATTGTGTTGCTCACTGTATTTGATTACACCACCAGTCTAGACTATAATCAGGGAACATTCAACTTCCACAATTTCAAGGTCATATACTTACTGTTTAAAATAACGGAATACTGTAGGGTAATAACCTTGGGAAGTAAGTTCTACTTCAAAAACCAGATGGCAGAGTTAATAATAGCAATGATACAAGTAACAATGCAGCTACATTTATCCAAGGTCTGTCATATCATGAGTGAGCTCTACAGGAATGTAAGCTCTAGTGGTAAGGACTTGAACTGATAAACCAAAGGCTGGCAGCACAAATTCACCAGCTACTCTGAGGAAAAAGATGGGAATGCTCTCATTCAATTGACAGCTTCTGAAAACTGCTATGGAAGGTCAGCTGTGAGTCAGATCTGACTTCAGGTCACGTAACAACAACTACAGCAAACACATTATGGGCCCAAGGACATTTCATCTTTGCTATAATCCTAGAACTAAGTATCAATTTTCTATTTCATAGAAGAAAGGACTATAGCTCCAGGACATTAAATGACTTGCCTTTGGTCACAACTAGAGCTGGAATTCACACTCAAAGCTGCTGGTCTTCCTCCTGGCCAAGTGACTGGATAGAGGGTGGGAAGGGAAAGTGCACACAGGCCTAACAGATGAGAACGACTTTGACGTTTGACTTTGACATGTCCCTACATCTATAAGGTCACATCATATATACTAAATATTCACTCAGGAGAGTTGAAAAGAGAAAAGTATCTCATTCATGAACACACCACCACCACCACACAGAGCTTCAACTCTTCCTACATGTTCTATTTATTTGAGCACCACATGTGAATCTGTCTGCCCTGCTCTTAGTGGAAGATGCAGGAGTTCAGAGGTAACAGAATCTGAAATGGGAACGCCAAGATTTTTGCAGAGTGAAGAGGGAAATGGTGAACAGAAACTCTCAGCAGAACTTGAGATAGGGGAGGACAAGGGATGTGGGTGGGAGTTGCCAAACCGTGTAAGGTAATTCAGAACCAATGAGTAAAGATGAAGATGAGCAAAGGGAACACAAATATTGGATGAACTTTTAAAGGGGACATTTAAAAAATATTTACCTCATCAATAATCTGAGGACAGCACCAGCTTGCCAGTCTCGTAAAACAAGCATCCATTCACTGTGTATCACACTATTCTGCAAATTTTAAATTATCTAGAATGGTTTCTATGACTGATAACAGAATCCACTTACTCCACAACTTGCTTGTACTATTTTAAGTACACAGAAAGTTATGCTTTCTTTTGCTTGCATGTATTAATGATATTATAAATTGTTTATTATTATTTATTATTAGGGTCCTATTACATTCCGATATGTAATTTAGAAATGTAAACATTGCTGAAGATCATCCCAAAACAGCCAGAACAGTACACTGAAACAGAAGTTAAAGCTGGATTTAAAAGAGACCACGGCACCAGAGATATCACTGCTGATGTCAGAATGATCCTGGCTCAAAGCAGAAAATATGAGAAAAATGTCTATTTATGTTTCATTGAATATGCAAAGGCATTAGATTATGTGGATCATAACAATCTATGGCTAACATTGAGAAGAATGGGAATTTCAGAATACTTGGTTATGTTCATATGAAATTTATTTCTAGACCAAGGGGCTGTTACACAGACAGAGCAAATGAACACGAAATGGTTTCAAATCACAGAAGGTGTACATCAGGGTTGTACCCTTTCTCCATATCTATATCCTAAGCAAATCATTTGAGAAGTTGGACTCTGTGAAGAAGAATGCAGATTAGGATCGGAGAAAGACTTAACAATCTGTATTATCAGATGGCACAACCTTGCTTTCTGAAAGTAATGAAGACCTGAAATGCTTGCTACAAAAGATCAAACACTATAGCCTTCAATATGGATTGCATCTCAACATTAAGATAAAAATATTCACCAGTGGACTGATAAGCAGTATCATGATAGATGGGGAAAGATTCAAACTGTCAACGATTTCATCTTACATGGATCCACAATCAACACCCATGGTGACAGCAGTCAGGAGTTAAGGAGACATACTATACTGGGCAAATCCACTTGTCAGGGACCTCTCCAAATTACTGAGAAGCCATGATGTTAGTTTAAAGACGAAGGTACCTGATGAAGGCCATGGTCTTTTCAATCACTTGCTATAAATCTGAGAGCTAGACAATGAATAAGGATGGTAGAAGAATTGATGTCCTTGAAATGTTATGTTGGAGGAGAGCACTGAACATTCTATGGACTTCCAAAAGAACAAACAGATACATCTTAGAAAAAGTACAGCTAGAGTACTCCTAGAAAGCAAGGAAGGCAACACTTCATCTTACATACTTCAGGCATGTTGCCAGAAGAAGTTATTCCTTGGAAAGGGAAATCATGCTTGGAAAGATGGGGGTCAGCAAAAGAGGGAAAGACCCTCAACAAGATGGACTGACACAGTGACTGCGGCAATGGGCTCAAGTGTGTCAGGGATAATGAGGATAGAACAGAACGGACAAGGTTCTTCACAGGGTCAGCTATGAGTCATACTCAACAGCACTTAACACCACCACCACAGTGCTGTTTGCTTAGTTTTATAATTCTCTTTACAGTCCTTATTAAAAGACAAAGTACATTATAGAAGGAAACTACAATATAGTAACACAACAGAATATTATGCATCACTAAAAAAAAAAATCAAGAATTCATTAAATACTGTACAAAATGGATGAATCTAGAACCCAATTATGTTCAGTGACTAAGGAAGTCACAAAAGGATAATTATGGAATAAGATCACATATAAAAAGCAAAGAAAAGGTTTATACACAGATGGAATCAATTCTGGAGCCTTAGTAGAGAAGAAAAGTGAGGAAGAGAGGATTGAAAATTAACAAATAGGTAAGTTAGGTGAAGGGGAAGGCAATACATAATAGGAGTTTGACTGCTGTTGTTGTGTACTGTCCAGTCAGAACCAACCCAGAGCGGACCTTCCAGTGAGTTTTCAAAGGTAATAAACAGCACAGGAGGAGACTGCTCATATATATCTCCCACAGAGGCAGCTGGTGGATTCAAACCATAGACCTTTGTTTTGAGTTGGCAGCACAATTCCTTACCACTAAATTACCAGAGGCCCCTTAACAGATTAGTGGTCTAATAATAATTTAATAAATAACTTATTTACAAAACGTCTATAAATGATTGAAAGAAAAACCAGTATGATTTGTGAACTTTCATCTAAAAAATAAAAGTAAAAAGCCACAGTGGCTATTTCCTGTAATAAAGAAGATAACAGAACTGTTGTGTTAATATTCAGAGTTCAAGAATTTGATTGTTGTTAGGTGTCACTGAGTGGGTTCTAACTCACAGGCTCTCACCCCACAATCACTGCCATAAGGCCATTGCTGTAGCCACAGTGTCAATCTATTTTATTGAAGGTTTTTGCCTCCTAGCATGATGTCCTTTAGAGATTGGCCCTTCCTGATAACATACATGTAAGACAAATTAAGCCTCAACACCTTCTCTTCTAAAGAGCATTCTGGTAGTACTTCTTCAAAGGCAGATTTGTTGTTTTCTGGCAATACACAATATATAATCAGTATTTTTCAACAACATCATCCTATCAGTTTCTCTCAAATGCATGACACTATGTCAACAGAGTGACCAAGAATTGCTAGAATTGAGTTCGAATTCCCTTACTGGCAGTGTGAGGAGGGATTGTGGTGGTGGTAGTGTGTACTGTCATTCAGAATAGACCCATAGCTCATGAATTTTCAGAAGCTGTTAATCACACAGAAAATTTCCCATCTTTTCCTTTTGAGCAACTGACAAATGCAAACGACACCTTTGGGTTGACAGTGTAGCTTCTTACCACTAGGCCACCAGAACTCCATACTGGTTGTATGGGCAGTGTTTAAATACTTAAATACTCTGGGCCTCAGTTTTGCCATCTTTAAAATGGGCACAGTAATTCCTACTTCAAGGAATAATTGAGGGGGGAAATGATACAATGTATATAAATGACATTATTGGCACACTTCCAGATATTCTCTCAATAATGATCATTACTGCACACTAAATGTACTACTATTTATAGTTCTCAGTTGTTTAATACTGAAGTATTAAAATTAAGTAAGTGAATACAAAAATATCTTACTTACCCATAAATGCAAGAGATGTCGATAACGACGTCTATCATATCACAGCAGAGCTCATAAGTTTGCATGTCCACTGGGGTACTATCTGTTGCGATGTAAATTTTACTGACCACATCAAATAAAAATGCCTTTTCAATTCCAGAATTCTGAAACAAAAAGATATTGCCTTAAAGTGACAGACCATATCATAACACTGTAAGTTATGTTGTTGCTGGAGTATCACAGGTTGATGAACAGGTTAAGAGGAGAAATCAGTTGAGGGACAGGGCTAAAAGGTGCAGCACACTCCACAGGAAGAAAACCCAATGTCTCCTAAAATATTTGCAAAATATAAGCTTCCAGATAAAAAAAATATTGAGGCATAATCTTTAAAAGCAATGCACAAGTAGCCTTAAAATGCAATAAGAATAAGCAGAAATTAGATCTTTCACCCTTCCACAGTAATTATCAAGTTCTGCAAAAGACTCAAATTCTAGAAAACAGGGGTATATTATCTACTTACTGAGATAAAGATGTTTAGCAAATTTTCCAGGGTTGGGAGTTGTGGAATCAGCTTTTGAACCACTTTGCTGAAAGCTTCAAATATTGAATGATCATAGATGCTTGTCAGATAAAAGCTGTAAGAGGAAACAATATCTCATCATGTTTTCCTTTTGGCTGAGGAATAGATTGCTTACTCTTTGCTGTAACACCAGTAACCTACTTTCAATGTCTTTAGTAACATACACATTCTAGCTCCCCATGAATTAAAAATTATTTCTTTAAAAGGGACCCCAAAACAACTCAACTCATCCTCCCTTTTTATCCTCAAAAAGAAAGAACTCTGTTTATTCTTATCTGTTGACTGCCTAGTTTGGAAAATTCTAAAATGCAGTGGTCTGTGCCCATGCTAGCTTCTTTAGGTTTTACAAGACAAGCATCCTAATATGTTTTCATTAGATTATTCAAGAAGTCCTGTTTTACAACAGGAACGTGATTAGCTGCTGATGCTGGTGGCTCAAGTCTGGGAGGTGAGAGGCCTGGTGATGCGCTTCTGTAAAATGTCAGTCTCAAAAGCCCTATGTGACAGCTTTATTCTGTTACATGGGATCACTATGAGGTGAAACCAACACTACAGCATACAGCAGCAAACAACATTGCTTTGTTCAGTCGTAATTAGTGTAGGATTGACTCCAACTTATAGTACTTCATGTGCAACAAAACAACATCTTGCCCAGTCTTTCTCCCACCCTCACAATCTCAATCGTACTTTTTAAATCCCACTGCTGCAGTCACTGCATCAATTCATCTCACTGAGGATCTTTCTAATCTTTTATTCTCACCTAGTTTCATGTTAGTAAAATTGAAATATCTATTTTTTTCATTTTTCCAGTTTGAAAAATGAGTAACATATGTACTACAATACTAAAAAAAAGACAGCATAATGGTTTTCTTCTCTGAACATTACTAAATTATTCTCGGATACCTCTCTAATTATGATTTTACCTGCAGCCACCGAGTCATTTCTAACTCCTAGAGGCCTCCTGTTTTACAGTCAGACTGCTCTGCAGGGTTTTCATGGTAGAAAACCAAATAGACCTTTCTTCCAAAGAATTTCTAAGTGGGTTTGAACTACGAATCTTTCAGTTAGGAGGTGATCACAAACTGTTTGGTCAATCAGGAGCCATTTTTTTATTACAGATGAGATCTTTTTATGAGGGCAAAATAGTAAAGATAGATTAGAAAGATACATCCCCAAAAGGATGGGCCTCCCTCCTTGAAAGGAAACATGCAGAGGAGAAGCCAGCAGATGCTATGTTAAGAATTTCTACACATATTAACTTCTTGCATTACTTTTATGCTCCTTGTTTCTTATTTATGGGGGAAGAATCATAGATTTGACCACATGCTGAATCAAAACAAAACCATTTGCTTTTACCAAATATTAGAATTGACACATTTAAAGTTTGCTTTTCCAAAATCCTATCTACAACACAGAGCAAAGTAAACAGATAAATGTCCAAACATGCCAAGCCAATCATGTTGACTTTGGGTCCCAAAACATCTTTCTTCTGTCTAGTACTGTGATCCTGGAGCAATTTCTGTCCTCACCTGAGGTGAATTTTTTCTAATCCAGCATCTGCAAGGTCATCATTTGCTCTCTGGTGAATATCTCTTTGGGTTTCAATTTTGTGATCATCTGACAGCCCATCAACCTTATGAATAAACACCTCAAAGTTGATGTCTGTGTTCACTTTGTAGGCCCTGGTCACTGTGAGGTGGAGCCTGGCCAACGCTTCCATGTAGTCATCCTAGGAACAAAGATACACCCTGTTAGAACAGACTCTGCCAAGAGACACAGCTTCCTTCTGAAGCCTTCTGCCTTGTCTTCCACATCCACCCTTCATATCTGGAAACCACATGGTACACTCTCACAAATCCTCTACAAAGACCCAAATAAAAGCTAGCCTCACAGAATTCAAATTTGAAAACTTTTCTATATACACACACCAAAAAAAAATGAGAAAACTAGGTATTTAAATAAATAAAGGCACATACATATGGTAGCAGTACTACTCACAATAATCAAAACATGGAACTCCCCCCCTAAATATTATGAATGGATAAATACAATGTGGCATAGACATACAATTTTTATGTAGTCACAAAAGGAATGAAGCACTGAAACTTACAACATGGGTAAACCTGAAAACATTGTTGGTGGAAATTAAACCACAAAACACACACTAACCTCATTTACATGTCATATCCAGAATAAGCAAAAGGACAGTGTGGATCAGTGGCCGCCAGGGACTAAAGGGCAATGTGAAATTTATGGGATGATGAAAATGTTTTGGAACTAGACCGAGACAGTCGTGAAACAACAATGTGAAAGTACCAAATGTCAATGAATTGTTCACTTTAAATTGGCTTATTTTAAACTATATTAACTTCATATTGATAATTTTTTAAAAAATTAAAAAATAATGTAGCTGTAGGCAATTATCATCTGGGTTGATGACAGCCATGAAGACCAGAGTCACTGGCTTCTAATTAGCTTGTCCAGGAGCTCTGGTGGCTAAGTGGTAAGGAAATGTGTGATCAACCCAAAAGCATATGGTTTGAAATCACCAGATGCTCCATGGGAGAAAGATGAGGAATCTCCTTCTGTACAATTTATTGCCTCTGAAAACCTGCTGGAGGGTCAGCAACGTGTTGATTCCAACTGAATAGTACATAACATCTACCTTGTCAACAATTAGGGTTTCTTGGAAATTGAGATTCATGAAGAAAAACTGACTTCATAACACCTGGGACCTCCCTGGGACCATTCCTCGATGCTTTCCAAAAATCTTGGTGAGTACAGATAACGATGAGATGGAGACAGGAGATGAGTCACTGGGTAGATACAAGGCAGCAGGAGGAATATATTTGAGAACCACTGGTCTACAGGAGAGGTGAGCAGCCATGGCACTTGGGCTAAATCTGGCCCACTACCACATTCTAGGTTTAAGTTCTACTGAAATACAACCATGCCATTTGGTCATGAACTGTAGATGGCTGCTTTCCCAGTACAACATCTGAGCTGAGTAGTTTCCTTCTGTGGGAAGTCCTCAGAGACTGTTGCGTGCAAAGCCTAAATTATTTATCATTTGGTCCTACAGAAAAAGGCTGCCTATCCCTGGGCTGAAGAATTATCCTAAACTACACAATACAAGCAATGGGGTCAAGTATGTCAGAGATTATAAGGATGGTACAGGAAAGAACAATGTTCAGATTGGTTGTTTATCAGGTTACTACGAGTTATAGTCATCTCAAGTCACCTAACAGCTCCTATAACTATAAGCTATAACTGCTTTGGTGGACCCAACAAGAACATATGGCACCCAATACCCACATAATAACAGAACCTGTGTGTCCACCCCTCAGTTTAAGAAATAAAACGTAGACACTACTTGTTAACTCTAGCACACAGTAACTGCTTTTAACTGCTCTATAATATCTAACTGAACAAATGGTCAATATATTTGTTTGTTGACACTCAGAATGTTAATTAAGTTTCGGTACATACTTGATAGAGAACTATCAGATATACAAGCTGGGTTTAGAAGAAGTAGTGGTACTAGAGACATTATCGCCAATGTCAGGTGGATCCTGGCAGAAAGCAAAGAGTACCAGAGGGATATCATTGAGTTTGTGTCCATTTGAATTTCCGAGGGCTTGTCCTGAGGACAACACTTTTTGGGTTATAGATAAGGAACTTTCAAATTCAACAAACGCAGTATTACAAGAGAGTCCCAGGCTCTAGACAACTAAGGCTCTTAATATTAAAAATTTTTTTTGTTTTAATGAAAGTTTACAGAGACTTTAGATTTACATTCACTTACACTGTTGCACTTTTCTCCCTGCCCACCCCTCCCCCTAATTCTCTTTTCTCTTTGAAAAGTAAAAGAAAAAATTATTTCATTGTTATTCAATCCGTAACCCCAAGTCCACTCCACTATAATACATTCGTTCTGGACTCCTGTCATAATAATAATATCTAATCATATATCCCCCTCTTTGAAGAGTGTGATTAGATTTTATTCCCAGAGAATAAAAAGAAAAGTCCAGGTGGCAGAGTGGTTAAGTGCTCAGTGGTTAACCAAAAGGTCAGCCATTTGAACCCACCAGCTGCTTCATGAGAGAAAGATACGGCAGTTTGGTTGGAAATTCTATGGGGCGGTCCTACTCTTTCCTATAGGGTTGCTATGAGTTGGAATTAAATCAATGGTGGTTTGGTTAGTATGGTCTGATTACCATGATGAAGAGGTGCACAGCTACAAGGGTTGAAAAAGGACACTGAATAAAAGGAGAAGATAAAGAATACTTGGCTTATTAGAGCAAAGGGATTATAGTTAATTTCTCCCATTTAGATGTCTGTATTTGCTACTATTTTCTGTTGTTAAGTACTATTTCTTCAGAACCGACTCATAGCTGGGCCTCCAGTGGGTTTTCAGAGACAGTTAATCACAGCAAAAATAAAACAGATTAAGTAAAATACTGCTTAGTGTCTACCTCAATATTAGATCTAGAAATTAATGGAGGGCCACAGTCATCAGCACAGGACAAACTGTGCTTTGGACCAAGCCATCTGTGGAATGGCTTCAGAGGGAAGGTGGCCCTGAGAGTGCAGGGACGTGGGGTCACACATCTCACTCCTGGGAAATCACTCCTGATGTACTTTCATTCTGTGTGTATTCACAGCACATTGGTGATAACCTGTGATTGTGAGGAATTCACAAAATAAAAATATGAGGTGTCAGACCAACAGAGCACAACTCAGAAAGAAAAGTGAATGCCAATAAAATGCTATCGTGATGCTTCTCTGCTGTTTGGATTTTTGTGTGTGTTTCTGTGTTTATGATCACATTATACAGATTCCTATAAACAAGATTTTTATAATCTGCTTCCAATATACAAATATGTTAAGTAGGTTCTAAAACTGCTCAATGAATTATGTATTATTCTTGGTAAGTGATTGATCACAATGTTTTTTCCTACACTTATTTTTTTTAAAGATAAAACTTTAAAAGAGAAATATCTTTCTCTGTCCTATAGGGTTTTAAAAATAAACATATATTCTAATCCAAACTGAATGTCTGCTTTTCATAATTAGTAAGTTGGTAACATTAGTAATTGGTAAAATAAAAACCAAATTACAGCTACAATTTTCAAACAGGCAGTATACTTATTTTAACCACATTTGAGGTGTATTACAAATGCCTCAGATAGAGCTGCACCCGGCAATCTGAATTCCATAAATGCAAACCGCTCTGTAAGCACAATCTGGTATTTAAGTAAATACTTACTAAGCCACTACCTTGAAATGATGAATAATCTGGATGGAATCTACTTACCCATGGGCAGGGCTACTACCTATTTCAACAACTACAGAAATAAGCAATGTGACTTGGGGAGAAAAAGGGAGCTTGGGAGACAGAAGATCAGGCATCCCAGAACTGTCCCCAGCAGTACATGGACTCTAGATGCTCCCCTTGGGCTCCAAGCTCCCTAATTTATGGGCCTGACAGACGTGAGGCAGGAAAGCAGGGATATTGCCAAGGCCACAGATGGGCCAGAAAACAGGTCAGTACAAGTCGGATGGTCAGCAAAGCAACCACTGACAGCAGACCCTGGCTGGATCTGAAACACATCTCTGCCAGCACACAAAACACACATAGCTCCGGGTCTGCTGCAAAGACCAGGAATTCAGATTAAAGCCTCCCCACATCCACCAGAGAAGAAAGAATGTCTTCTAACCACATGGTCGTGTTCCCACAGCACACAGGAAGTACACATGCGGTCAGGCACCTGGAAATGAAGGGCTTGGTTAAAAGTTTCATAATTATATCAAACGAGCACCTAGTTCCCTGATCACTTTATTATCCACTCAGGCTTTAGCAGTCTTCTCAGAGAATGGTTTCCAAGTGTGGGAAGAACCATCATCACAAACAGGCTTCACAGACCCTTCATCTCTAATACCGCTGATGCTCCTGAAGAATCCTGACTGGAGCTGCAGGAATAATGCCTGCAAGCAGCTCGCCAACTGGTCTGGTTGTAGGGCCACAGTTTGCAGGAAATGCTCCTTCCAGGTGGGTTTGATGCATGTCTGTTTGATCTGTTATCATTCATTGCCCACAGTGGGGCATCCCTTAAACTGTGGAGGATATTTTTTATGAGTACATGGGCACAGAGAGCGCAACAAGTATCAATATCCCAATCTTGCTACATGTACATGTAGCCAAGCACTACTGAGCCAATTCTGACTTACAGTGGCTTCATGTGTGTCAGAAAAGAACTATACTCCAGAGGATTTTCAAAGGCTGCCTCTGGGTGAACCTGAACCTCCAACCTTTCAGTTGGAGCAGGAAAGTGAGTTAACCTTTGCAACATCCAGATTTCCTGCTACATGTATTCTTTTTTATTTTAATTTTTTTTTAATTTTTATGTGCGTGTACTGTCAAATCAGATCTGACTGGTACAGGAGGAGATTGTCCCTCCTTCCCCGGCAGAGCATCTGGTGGATTCGAACTGTGCACCTCTGGGATTGTAGTTGCAGTTCCTTGCCACTAGGCCACCAGAGCTCCCCAGCTACATGCATTCTTTCCTATGGCTGATCTGCTAGAGGACCCATCACCTGCGGTGCTAGTTTCACTTTCCCACTTCCCCTTCATACTTTACAGAAGGCAGGCAAACTCCTAGTAAGAGGAATCTTCCTACTTCAGCAGCTGAAAGTCCCCTGGTACAAAAAAACCTGTACCCAAAAGATAATTCAGAATGCTGGCTTGAATACTAATAAAGAGAATCATTTAAAAAACCAGGTAAAAGGCTATCTGCAAGACAAAGGTTCCCTAAATTTTAGTTTAAAGCAAAGTTAGAAGAGGGTCTAACAGGATACCTGCTGATGAAATACTAAAATTAATTATTCCTGATAGGGAACTGAGAAATTCAGGAAATATAACTTAGAGGGAATTTAAACAAGTAACTGAATATAAAGGAAATGTTCCCAAATCCACCTATTTAAGTAGACACATTTTCTCAGTGTTTACACCTGTTGTTTGTTATTTACCATTGAGTCGGAACTGACTCATAGCTGACCCTCCAGTGGGTTTTCATAGGTAGTAAATCACACAAGAGAAGATTGCCCATTTTTCCTGCATTTGAACCTCTTTAGGCTGGAGCACAACTTCTTACCCCTCAGTACAAACAAAAATGGAATGGATACAAATATTGCCTTATTCAAGCATGGAAATATGGACTAAATGGGAAAATATGTACTTTATTATAACTTTTCAATCAAATTTTACTTTTTATATAATTAATAATCATAAAGATGCAAAACTAGTAAAGCTTCTTAATTATGCTCTAGCAATAATTTTAGTAATTTTTTTAAAAATCTTCAGACCTAGAACCTTTTCTTCATAATAAGTAATATGCCTTTCAAAACATTAATGTGCACACTTTTTTGTGTGTGTGTGTGAGTGTACCGTCAAATCAGATCTGACTGGTACAGGAGGAGATTGTCCCTCCTGTTCCCGGCAGAGCATCTGGTGGATTCGAACCGTGTGCCTCTTGGGATTGTAGTTGCAGCTCCTTGCCTCTAGGCCACCAGAGCTCCCCTAATGTGCACACTTTTAAAAACAAAGACCTACAATCACTGCTGTTGAGTCACTTGTAACCCAAAGCAACTGAACATAATATAATACAGGATAGAAATGTCCCACAGAATTTCCAAGCCCTTAAATTTTTATGAAAGTAGACCGCCACAGTTTTCACAAGTGAAGTGGCTGGTGGGTTTAAAGTACCAGTCTTTGGGTTAATAGCCAAATACTTAACCACACTGATACCAGAGTCCTACTGCAGGGAAGGAAGCTCTCATGGTATAGTCAGTAAAGAGTTATAGTTCTAATCCACCAAACTGCCTCTTGAAATAAAGATGGACAATCTCCTCTCAGCAATTTGCATCCTCTTGAAAACCCACTGAAGGATCAATGCCAAGTCGGCTCTGACTCCATCCATGGCAATGACTGTGATCTTTTTATTTTCTGATAGATGCTTACCAGGTTATCAGAGAATAGGATATGTATTTGTTGTCATTGGTCTGGTGATCCTCTCCATCCTGGGAGATTTCCCAGTTCCCCAAGGGAGAAAAGAAGCCCTGGTACTGAAGTGTTTAAGGACTCAGTGGCTAACTGAAAGGTCATCAATTCAAACCCATCTAACAGTTTTGTGAGAGAAAAGACCTGTTGATCTACTTCTATGAAGATTGCAGCCTATGGAATGTTATAGAGAAATTCTACTGTCACACAGGGTTTCTATTTAGTCAGAATTGACTCAATTCAAACAACAACAGTGCTGAGGTGTTATTCAGGGTGGGATGGTCATGGGACACTTTTGTCCGTAATAAAATCTGAGACCGTTGGGTGAGAAGTACCACTGTATCAGAAAGACCTAGCCTGGATTTGAAAACTCAAACCAAAATAAAATTATCACCCATCACTTGTTTTAACAGACACTGCCATGCTGCAAGTAACCCTTAAGCATCGGACCTTTACCTGGGAGTCGATGACAAATATCAGCGCTCCTGTTCCCCTGAAGATCATCTCGTAGTCAAAAGTAGGGTCAAAAAAGTCAATCTGCCCTGGGAAGTCCCAAATCTGAAAATTCACAAAGGAGCTGTTGGAAACATCTTCTCGGCATATCTTGTTAGTGCTCTCCAAGAAAAGAGTTTCATTGGGAGACATTTTATGAAAGACAACTTTCTGAATAGATGACTTGCCACTTCTTCTAAGGCCCATGAGCAGGATTCTCGGCTTCACCTCTGTGCTGAAGGGATCGCTGAAGTCCAGAACTGGAGAAACCACAAAACAGGAATGGGGGTGAGACACTTTCACAGTGGTTAATTAGAGGAGTTTCACTTCCATCTCAAATGAGATTTAAGATTCACAGTCAATGTTGCTCTTCCAAGTACCGACAGTGTTAACTAAATCACTCTACCCATTTACAGACGGTTATCTGTTAAGTGCAAAATACAGAAAAATGCTATTTCATTATCACTCATGCTATCCCAGAGGGCAAGACATACTACACCACAGGCAGGGCTCTAGGGTGCAAGGAGCAATGATTTCTTGAGTGGGTCCATCAGTGGAACAGAATCCAGGTCTTCATTTTCCAGGTCTTTGCCTAGAGCATCAGAGGCTCTGTGTACTTACTAAAGAGATCTTTGTTTATCTGAATTATGCTCTCAGTTACCCTTGCCTGGCCAGTGTTCTCAGATGCCACAAATGCCACAATTGGGCATGGACCAGATACCTTGGACTCACACACTGTGTTAGAGGGCAGATGTAGATTTTGTGAGAAGGAGACTTCGCCCAGGTCCACACTGGCTCTAGGTCTACACTATCCAGTAAAGAAATCACTATGTTGAGTACTTATGCTAAAATGAGTAAAATTTATTAAAACTTAAAAATTCAGTTCCTTAGTCAAGGAACCCCTTTACAAATATCAACAGCCATACGTGGCTGGAAGCTGCCATACTGGACAGAACAGGTAGAGAACACTGCCACCAGGGCAGGCAATTCTGTAAATCAGTGCTGCTCCTGACCCTAGAAACAGAATTTAATCCAAAAATCCCCTTTCAAGGGTCTTAGGAGGGATTAAACATTACTGGATAAAAGTAGGAATGGCTATTCGTATTTAAAACAGTAAGGCTCTTTTTCCTTTACTCTCAACATATAGGTTAAGTTCCTCAATGTTTTTTCAATTCAACTTAACTCATTGCCATTGAGTCTGAAACAACTCATAGCTGACTCTCCAACAGGTTTTTGAAGGCTGTAAATTACACAAGAATGACTCCCAAGAGAGTCACCAGTGAATCTGAAGTGAATTTAAATGACTCCGTTACCATTCCTCGACACACAATTCCTGAGGAGTCTTCCTAATTAATGTAGAAATGTGAGGGCTCTGATGTCAGCAAGAGTCAGAGTTTGAGTTTTGGGATTTTGGGGCTAGAGAATACATTTCTTGGGCCCAGTTTCAGCATCTGTTAAGACAGTAACATGAAATACTTATTAATACTAACTGCATGATTCAAAATCAAGAAAGGAGTGTATCAGGGATGTATCCTTTCTCCATCCCTTTTCAATTTATATGCTGAAAGTATCATTCGGAAGGCTGGACTTTATGAAGAAGAATGGGGCATTAGAAGAAGACTCATCAACAACCTGCGTTATGAAGATGATACAACTTTGCTTGCCAAAACTGAGGAGTTCTTTAAGTGATAAAAACCATAAAACTGTTAGGGGAAAATATAGGTATAAATCTTGCAACCTTGGATTAGACAATGGTTTTTCAGCTATCACACCAAAAGCATAAGCAATCTTTTCAGAAAAGGAGAAAACCCAAATAGGATGAAAATACAACCCACAAAATAGAAAACATATTTGCAAACAAGTTATCTACTAAGAGTCTTACATCTAAAATATATCAAGAATTTTTCCAATTCAATAATAAAAACTACAACTCCATTTAAAAACTAAGAAAACCTCTTTCTCAAAAAAATACATGCAAATTATCAATAAACTCATGAATAGATGATCAGTATCATTAGTGTTAAGGAAAACCAAAAACACCTCAAATTCATTGCTGGAGAATCTAAACCAACCCATAGCTGACCCTCTAGGAGGTTTTCAGGGGCTGTTAAATGCATTGGACAACCGTCATTCTCCAGTGGAGCAGGTAGTGTATTTGAATCATCTGCCTTTGGATTTGACAGTGCCATTCCCTACTGACTAGGCTACCAGAATCTTAGGGAAACTACCGTAAGATACACCACTTCACATCCACTAAACATTTATCCTTGGGGCCCTATTTAAATTGTTGTTGTTATGTGCCATCAAGTCATTTGTGACTCATAGCGACCCTATGTACAAGAGCTCTAAACGCTGTTCAGTTCTTTGCCAACCTCGCCATCTCAAATGCACTTATTCCCACCGCTCCAGTCATAGAATCAATCCATCTCATCGAAGGTCTTCCTCTCCTTCACCGCCCCTCCACTCTGCCAAACATGATGTCTCTCTCCAAGGACCAGTCCCTCCTTGCAACATGCCCAAAAGTATGTCAGACGAAGCTTCAGAATCCTTGACTCCAAGAAGCACTCCGGCTTCACCCTCTCCAGGACAAACCTGTTTGTTCTCCTAGCAGTCCATGGTATATTCAACACTCTTCTCTAGCACCACAGCTCAAAGGCATAAATTCTCCATCATCCTTAGTTACTCTCCAACTCTCCTATGCATAGCACATAATTACAAAGACTAAAGCCTGGATCAGGCACATCTTAGTCTCCAGCCTGACGTCGTTGCTCTTCAGTACTTTTGAGAGGTCCCTCACAGCCGACTTTCCCAATGCAATTTGTCTCTTGATTTCCTGGTTGCTGTTATCAAGAGTGTTGATTGTGGAGCCAAGCAAACAAAAACTGTTAACTATCTCAATCTCTTCACCATCCATACTGATGCTGCCAATTGGCCCAGTGGTGAGAATCTTTGTTTTCTTGATGTTGAACTTCAATCCATATAGGAGGATGCAGTCCTTGACCTTCTGCAGCAATGGGAGGTGTTTGTGCACCATGAAGGTGATTGGATAGCTTGCTAATAATGTAAATAAGGTACATAACACCTCTGTAGAATGGGGTCTGCAAGTAAAGTGTATGGAATGCTAATGTGGGCTGATTAGTCTTGTGATTCTGCTAAGTCTAAAAGAAGTCATGTCAGAGGTGGGAAAGGGAGAACATACTGCTTTGAAGAAAGAACCATTGTGGAGAGCACATTATAGACCCAAGATGTCTGTACCTACCAACCCAAACTCAGGAGACAGTGAGTTGTAACATCAGAGACAAGAAGTGGCCACAGAGAAATGGCAGCAACAGAGGCAGAACCAGAAGACAAGCATGAGACAGGGCAGAAGGTCTTGTTAACCCACAGGAAAAAAACAAAACAAAAAAAACAACAACAAAACAACCGATCCCCATTAATCAGGAGGCTCGCTGATCAAGGAGGCATTTATTCAGAAGGGAGGTCTGCCAACCCATGGAGCTAGAGCTGACTGCCTTTAGGAGGCCTACTCATGGAAGACAGTGAGTGACAAGTATTGATCAAGTTGCAGAAGCACTTGATTTGATGGTGGAAATAAAAATTCTGGAACTTTGGAGAACAGTCTGAATTTGCTCCGCTTGCCTAGTGAGTATGAGGGTGCAATGCCAACACAAATGCACTCAGTTTGAATCTACCAGCTGCTCCACAGGAAAGAGACGGGCAATCTCCTCCCCTGTAATTTAGGGTCTCAAAAACCCGCAGGAGCATCAGCAAGAATTCCTTCTTGATTCCAATGGGTTGAATTTTGAGTTTCTTGAAAGTTAAACACACAGCTTCCATATTATCCAGTTATTCGTTCTACTTTAAGGTATTTACCAAAGAAAAATGATAAGAGTACATGTCGCTACAAAGGTTCACAACAGCTTTATGTATAATGATCAAAAACAGGGAGCAATCAAAACTCCACCAAATGAATAGATAAGCAAATTGCCATGAAAATTAATAAATTATTGATATAGATGAATATAAAAATTATTATATTGAGTGATAAAAAAATCAGATACTCTAAGATCTTATTTAAATCTATCAGTTGTTCCAAGGGAGAAAGATGGGCAATCAGAGGATATCAGCCCCTGCTAAACCACTAGAGGGCCAGCTATGAGTCAGTTCTGGCTCAACAGCATATACCAACAACTTCCACATCTTACTTACGGAGCTCTGACGGCACAGTCCCCACGGAACTGCACTGCTAACCCGAAGATGGTGCCTCTCTGGCAGTGCAAATGCACCTGGGGCAAGATGCACAATCTCCTCTTGTGCAAATTACAGCACCTCAAACTTGCTTGAGAGTCAATTATGAGTCAGTTCCAATTAAATGGCAATGAGTTTGACTTAAGTTTAAAATCCCATTTTTACAGAATTCTAAAAAATGTAAACTAGTCTGCAGTGAGATCAGATCAATGGTTATTTAGAGACTGGAAGGTATGGAAAGGGACTGTTTGTAGGTGATATATGTTGTTCATTTTTATTTGATATGGATCAATGTTATCAAAGGTGTGTCATTTATTTTATGTCAATTATATCTCAATATGATCAGTGAAAAGTAAGGGAGAAATGCCAGACAATTACATTTTCATTCATTGGATTAAGACCCATCAGGCTTTTCTTCTTAGCCCATTTTAGTGTGGGAGCTCTGCTGAAAGCAGTTTAGCACAAGAGGCAATCAACCAACAACAAACCGGTTGTGGCTGCACATGAAATGCACCAACCACGAATGAAGCAGAATCTCTGACATGGAAAGTGAGAATTCTACCACAGTAAGCAAAGGCACAACACAGCCAATGAAAAGCCACAGAAACCAGTGCCGGACTGCCCAAAACACAAGGTAAACACAGGCGGCCTTGAGTTTACTTACTAATCTGTACTGAGGAGTTATTTCTTTTTCCTCACATTAAAGATTCTGCTTCTAGATATGGCTTGTATCTCTTTCTCTTTCTACTGAGGCAGGATCTTTTTCAATTTACAGTCCCTGACAGTTATAGAGTACCCATCAGGCAAGGTAGATGCAAGCTTATGTGTACTCACTCATTTAACTTAGTGAACAGTTTAGTTTCACAGGCTGTTAATTGCAACCATCACTGGTTGGATAGCATAGCTCCTTAAACCATTAGGCCACCAGTATTCCCTATATAAGTACTGTTTAATAAAACTCTTTTAGGTTTTGTTGTTGTTATTAAGTGAAATCAAGTCAAGCACAACTCAT